GGGATGGGACATCAATGTTAGAGAGACACTGATTGGCTACCTCCCACATGTGCCCCACCAGGGCTAGGGATCAAGTCTGCAACTGAAGTACGTGTCCTTGGCAGGAATTGAACCTGGGACCCTTCATTCCACAAGCTGATGCTCTAACCACTGAGCCAAACCAGCTAGGGTGGCACTTGATTTTTTTAGCCTAATGACCTAACTTGGGGATCTTTCTGTAAGTTCATCCAGACGGTGAATCTGAATCACATTCCACCATGCAGGTGTGTCCTTATTAATGGAATTAGAACCCTCTGTTGGCAACTGTTCAATGCAGCAGTTTTGAGCATCCTTTAATGGTGAGGGCGTGTGCTACTAGATAACAATTTTTTAGCTGTAGGGGGGTGTCTGTGTACTTGAAATTGTATGACATAAACTATAAACTCTTCTCAAGATGTGCCCCCTAACTTTCATCTAATTCTCAAAGGGACTTGTGATTTAAAAAAGAGAACCACCATTCTACAGGGTACAAACTTTTGCAACAAGGAGCTAATTTACCTGGGGACTCCTGTCCCCTATGAGCTTTCATCTCTCTAGCAGCACTTCACGAAGTAGTGAAGAGTTAGGGTATGAATTCAGGTAGACCCTGGTTTCAAAACCTGAACTGCCAACTGTGCAATGGAAAGTTACTCCATCTCTCCAAGCTTATTTATCTGCAAAATGAGGATAATAGTACCTGCCTCATAGGGGCGTAGTGAATTAAATGAGACAGTGCTCAGTACACAGAATGTCTGGTATAAGTTTGTGCTAAATGACAGCTTTTAGTTCTAGGACATCAATAGAAGAGAACTCGTAAGAATTTCCTCAACATCTAGCTTCTCTACAGGCACAAAGATGCATTCCAAGGACATGTGGCAGTGCCAAGCTGGTGCACTGGGGGCAGACTGCACTATTGAGGGAAGAGACAGGAATAAAATACACAATTAGATTGGTTTCTTCCCCTGCCACCAAAACACTTCTTCCATTCAGTACATTCTTTATATAAAAACTAACCAGCAAAAGGGAGCCTGGGCTGACTCTTAATGTACAAATGACACAGACCTCTTAAAGCTTTAAAGAACTTTTTTACAAATGGAGAAAAGATCAAGCCAGGATGACTCCCCACAAGGAAGGGATCTAACGCCCCCACGAACTTCTTCAGGCCACCACAGCTACTTCCTCCTCTTGTACCTATTAAGAAAACGAGAGGGGGTCAAATATATGGTAATGGAAGGAGACTAGACTTCGGGTGCTGAGCACACAATGCAATATACAGAAAATGCATTATAGCATGATATACCTGAAAGATAATGTCATTAACCAATGTTACCCCAATAACTTTAATTTTTAAAACAGAGTAAAAGACCAACTCCCCCAAAGATCAGAAAGTGGAAGGAGCTCCTTTCCCATTAAAAATTTATTCTGCAATCCCAAATAGTCATAACCTTTGGTCCTCCAAAACTGCAAACATTACCTGGATTTAGATTTAAAGTTTCCTCCTCGTCGCTGGTGGGGCAAGCCTAACTGTTTCCTTTCTTCAAAGGAGGGGCTATAGGTGAGAGAAGACAAGATGTTGAAATGGCGGTCTGTTGGAAAGGTGGATGGTCTCACCCCCACCCCACCCAGCTCCCACACAAAGCAGCAGGATCAATGGATGCATTGTTTTTAGGTCCTGAGGTTTCAGCCTGTGTGTATTTCTACCTGTTAATATGGGTTTGTGGAAGTCAGGGCCCAGCTTTAAAACAAAACTGGAAAAGGCCCTGCCCACCATTCTCATGTATGTAATAAAACTACTTGGGAAGCGTAGTCTAACCCCACCCCAGCCCAGGCCCAGGAGATTGGGAAGAGGAGGAATGGACAACACATTCCCAAGAGCAAACCAGGATCCCTTGGGGGTTCTATCACTCTCCTGAGGAAAAGCTCCATTTCTGAACCCAAAATGTGCCCATTTTACCTCCAAGGCAAAAGGGCCTCAACACCTCTTTCCTACTCTTCTCACCCTGGGATCCTTAGATAGGCTAGTGGGAGGGCTTTTGTCTAGAAGCCCTTGGAATTATATATCATAAAGCTATAGGTATATGAGAATTGGGAGTGGGGAAGGAGGGAGAGGGTTCATAGCTTTCATCATAATACCAAGAGCTCCATGATGACTTAAAACCCTACCCAGCTCGATACTGTTTCAGGGCCTTCTTGCTTGTGTTGGTGAGTTCTTCATCAAATACGGATTTCTTCACCTGCTTTTGCTTCTTGGCTGTGCAGAGAGACAATGGGTTAGATATGTGTTCTTTGGCCTAAGCTCCTAACCCCTTAAGCTCAAGGTAATGGTTCCAAGTTCAGCGGATGCTCTGGACTGATGATTTACTGACATGAGGTTAGACATCAGATCCCGGCTGAAAAAGGGATACGGTGTCAGAAGTACCAGGTTTAAAGGAACCACTCCAAAGAATGATGGCAGAGTCCAGAGTGAAATGGACCACTTAAACATGAAATGGGCCAAAGACCACCTTCACTTCACTCTACCCTGACCCACTCCTCCAAGTGGCAACTGGTAAGGACTTAGGCTCCAGAGTCCAAAAGGCCTGGTTTCAAATCCTAGCTATTTCCACTAATCATAGTCACTTCACCACTTGGAGCCAATAAAGGTATAGCTGTATACTTTAGTACATACTCATTACTTACAAAAATGTGGGCTCTTGCCCTAGCCAGTTTGGCTCAGTTGTTAGAGCATTGGCCCTCAGACTGAAGGGTCCCAGGTTCGATTCCAGCCAAGGGCACATACCTTGGTTGCAGGCTTTATCCCACGCCCCAGTTGGGGCTCATGCGGGAGGCAACCAATAGATGTGTGTCTTTCACATCGATGTTTCTCTCTCCCCCTTCTATTCTCTCTGAAAAGCAATGGAAAAAATATCCTCGGGTGTGGATTAAAAAAAATGTGGGCTCTTATCACAATCCCTCCAATTTTCTCCCTGACCACAAGCACGGGTTTCAGAGAGAACCTTCCTACCAGCCCCTGTGGGCTCCCCATATGCCTACCAGGGCCTCTTGCGGGCTCCTCCTCAGGCATTGCTCGGGCCCGCTTGGCTCTGCGATTCCTCTTGGCCAGCCGCTCAGCGAACATCTGTGCCTTGAGGATTTCGAACTGGGACCTTTCCTCTGCCTGGAGAGAGGATGACATGTGAGTATGGAACAGATGAGGAAGCCCTGACCCATTCCTCTGGACAGGGACCCAACTCCAAAGGGGACGCCACTCACTGTCATCTCCCCCTTTTTCTTGGCATCCTTCATAAACTTCTTCCTTTTCTTCTTTCCTCTTAAGGCCAAGTCAAACTCCTGCAGAGCCTTAGCGACTGGCATGAGAAGAGAGCATGAGATTTCAGATCTCGTGTTTTATATCTTTCTTTAAACTTACATTAAGAAGTGCTCATATTGCCCAGGCAGTGTGGCCCAGTGGTTAAGCACTGACCCTTGAACCCGGAGGCCATGGCTCAATTCCAGGTCAGGGCACACGCCCGGGTTGCGGGCTCTATCACCAGTGGGGGGGTGGGTACAGGAGGCAGCTGATGGATGAGTCTCTCTCATCATTGATGTTTCTATCTCCCTCTCCCTCCCTCTCTGCAATCAATAAAAACATTAAAAGTGCACACATTTTAAATTGGGACGTAAGGGCTTAAAATGAGAAGCAGCAGCAACCACTTCCTTTCCTAGTGACTACCTCACCTCACTAAGTAGCATGCTTGTCCCACTAGTTCTCGATGAATCCCCTTGAGACCTTCGTTCTCTATCTACCTCTCCACGTGAAAGATGAGGATCTCATGCTCCCACATAGTCGTAACTCTATTTTTAACACAGAAATTTAATATACATACACCCTAATTTTTTGTC